GTTCGCTCGAGTAACTTCCTGAAACGGCCGTCATCGCCAAATGCGGCGGTCCCACGCTCCGACGCCAGAGCAGGGAAAACTACCAGGAGGATGGCCATGCTGCACGCGTCAGGGGAAGATAAGAATGAGATACCGCACAAGGTAACATGTCAATGCAAACACAACTGACATCGTTATTTAAAAGACTGACTCAAGCCACCTCATCGCCCGCCAACACATCTCTCTGCCCATACAGTCACGGTTTAAAAGAGCCCTCGAGCAGGGCACGTCCACCGGCGCGCGAGGCAGAGCAGCCTGTAGCGCGGTCTGGTGATCCCGCAAGACCTGGCCGACGGCCCACGGGACCCAGCCGGTCGTCTCACGAGAACCGGCCGACCGTCCGGCGAGACACGGCCGGTCGTCTCACGAGACTCGGCCGACCGTCCGCAAGACCCGCGCCACAGTACCGTGCAGACGATAGAGAAGTGTCCGGTGCTGGACAGGGTGGCGTAGTCCAGGCCCAGCAGCACCACGGCCACGTACACCAGCATACAGCCCACCACGGTGATGCTGTTCAGCTTCGGGCTGGACAGCTTCACCTGCCTGAGAAGCGGACCAACGACGCGGGTGAGAGAGAGACAGGAGAGGGCCGTGTGTCCCGTCGGCAGGCCTCAAGTTGTTTGATAACGCCGGTTTCTGACCGGATTGTATTTTATTATAGCTTCTTCTGACAATTCAAATTATTCCAAAGCTTCGTGATGAATGGGAGAGCTTGTCCTGAAAAAGAGCCCAAACCTCTCATAATAATGATGACCTCGCCACACTGTAGGTCGCTTTGCGTGCGCTCTGGCGGGCTTACGACCGCGACGGCTTAAGTCCCAGCTATCGCAGTAGCTCAATACAGTAAACGCCGCGTGCAGCGAGACTTGCAAACGTACACAATTCCATTAGAGACTGCAAGGGTAAAGGAACGGTCTAGATGTAATGATCTCATCATTCAAAAAAAACTGCACTTGCTGAAAGCATCCTTTTCAAATGTATACGAATGAAGTTGCGAAATGCGTTCACGGTTCATTTTGTTACATATTTCGTCTGAACCTTTGCATTGGATGGATTTCCGGATCCAGGAATAACAATTTCATGAGCCCTGGACCCACCATCCGATCGCGAAATTCGAAAGGTTAAAGGCAGAGTTTTGTAGCAAAAGCTTAGCGCGTCGTACTGCTCGACCTGGACCGTCCTAGTCCTGACGTCGACTGACCTTTCGAGCGGCCGCTGCCACCGGCCGCAGGCCGTCCTAGTTACGGGAAATTGCGAGTGCTTAAGTGCTTCGCCGCGAGCGGATGAGTCCTAACACCAGCTGAGCCAACTGACAAGCAGCCAACTTTAACCAACTGTGCTGTCGGAAAAGACTTGTTCTCGTCTTTTTTCGTCGTAGGGGGTCTCTACACTGTCACAAGTCTGCAAAGTTAAGGCCTTCGCGTGGGTGCTATGGAAGGTGAACATATGGTTGTGACACTTTTAGAAAGGTGGTGGTCTATAACGCGGCGGCTAAAGAGAGCCGCAAGAGCAACAATATTTCAATGACCTGGGATTAATAGGCGTTAAAACCTACATTTCAAAACCATGGACGTCCTGCTTAGCGTCCACTCTGTGGTACTTTGCTTATGGCAGTGTTCCACAGCAAGACATATGCACAATATATGCAAGCTTTCCCTTGTTAATTGTACCCTTGGCTGGGCAAGCCTCATTTGGGAGTCGGAATATCCCGCTTGTTTTTGGTAAAAGTAAAACAGAAAAAACCTGTTCAGTAGAAGACTGCATATGCTACGTCAGTAAATATCTCGTCATCAGTGATTTTTCAAAGGGAAATGAAAAATCATCACCCTGTTCTCTTGAAGAACCATGCCCGCACGGAACACCGTGAATTAGTTCACGGTTGAAATGTCTCAATGGCGGCACAGCTGACATTGGCGTCTTCCCTCTCCTCTCATCTCCACGCCCTGCACCGCGCTACCCCACTTCATGTGCTTGTAGTAGACGTTGAAGGCGAAGAAGACGCCGGAGAGCCAGGACGGCCGAGCGAGGCCAGGCAAACGATGGCAGCAGGGCGGCGCGCGACACCGTCACCACGCGCGTCACCAGCAGCCGGCGCGCCACCGGCGCCTGGCCGCCCGGCCACCAACGGCGGCGCAGGCGGCGCAGCCCAGCTCCAGCGCCGCCGGCCGCGGGTCGTACAGCGCCACCAGGCTGAGGTTCCCGCCTGCCGGTCACAGCCCCGGTCGCAATTCACCAGACGCACCGACCCCGCGTCGATTTAGATGCGCAGCGACAGAATTGTCCTCTTTATTGCCCTATGCTTGTCGGTGCAAGTCACATACCATCACCAGAAATGAAATTGAGCCTTCGGGACCGTTCGCAAATTGAAAAATCCGATATTGCCTGAGCACAGCCACAGAAAAACCCAGCAAAGCGCTGGAGAGAGATAGCTTGTCAGAGCATAGCAAGCCACTGAACGCGAGGCCGTAAGGTCACTTCAGGTGCGGGTTGCTGCCGCTTCGCACGGGCGACTTGACCCTCTCACCTCGTAGCTGATAGAAGGCGCTGAGACCCCTGCGATCGGCCCCGTTGAAGCTGACTGGTCCCTGAAACATACGCTGCTGATACGGTTGCGGTGGGACGAGAACGAGACAGACGACCCGGGAGGCGAAGAAAAACGGGGAGACTGAGAACGCGCAGCGGACGAGAACGAAACGACCACCCGGGGAGACGAAGAGAAACGGGAGAGGTGATAACGGCGCGGCAGGACGAGAACGAAACAGACCATCCGGGGAAACGAAGAGAAGCGGGAGACTGAGAACGGCGGGAGAGACTAAGAACGGCGCGGTGGGACGAGAACAAAACAGACCAACCGGGGAGATGAAGAGAAGCGGGAGACTGAGAACGGCACGGTGGGACGAGAACGAAACAGACGAACCGGGGAGACGAAGAGAAGCGGGAGAGTGAGAACGGTGCGGCGGGACGAGAACGAAACAGACTACCCGGGGGGACGAAGAGAAGCGGGAGACTGAGAACGACGCGGTGCAATGGGAACGAACCAGACTTCGGGAAGATGAAGAGAAGCGGGAGAGTGAGAACGGCGCGGCGGGGTGGGAACGAAACAGACTTTCCGGGGAGATGAAGAGAAGCGGGAGAGAACGCCTCGGAAACGCCAGGACGGCATACAACTTTTCGGAGAGAAAACAGAACGGTGACGAGAATATGCAGAAGGCGGGAAACGGGACAGAACATTTTCGGAACCGGACGAGAACACGTCGCGCATTTCGGGACGAAGACAGGAAAAGGTTTATTGAGATACGGCAAGTCACAGCCGGGAGGAGACGGAAAACTTAGAGGGGGGGGGGGGGTGACTCCACCAGTAGAACAAAACATCTCGAGAAGGGACGGGAACGGGACAGAAATCTCCGGATGGGGTGAGAACGAGAGGCAGGCCAGAACACTCTGCAAGAAGAACGGAACACGGACCATCAGAAGTTGCGAAACCAGATCCAGCAGAGACCGACTACGGCAATCTTTCAAGAGGATCTAAAATGCGGACGCTGGTTAGCTCGCACGCCATTGTGACTAAATGTGCAATAACTACTTTGACACAATTAGTATGGCAGCCGTAAAATGGGGAACCCACTCAGGACAATTTCAGGTGGCCACATAAGTTTCTAACTAAATCAATGGAGCGCAACGACCCTTTCCCAACTTGAAAGCACGTTTTTTGTCCCTTTTTAGGTTCACCCTCGCCTTAAATGTTGATTTCACGATCCGGCTTTCGGCAAATAATCTGCCGATTATGAAAAGTACCGATATACATCAGTGACGAGTCACTTATCCGCGATGTTTCTTGTTCTGGCTTGTTGTTACATGTATTCGTTTGAACGCCACATGTTCCAAAGAACCCAGTCAGAATCATTTTAAACTTTCCTCCACCTTCCCTCCATGTCATAAGTAAAAGATGAATCGCACAATTCTCTGCACACCGCTCTTCATAGCCAGCTTCCCTACGCCGATGTCTCGTTGAGTTGAGCAGCTACAATGTTCACAGATCAATTCTGTTGGTCTACCACGGCTCGCTTTCAGCGTATTTGAGGCGCACACACAGCCGCCTATGGTCCATCCAGATTTTCACAAGACTGCAAACCTTTATCAAGCTTCAAGCCAGGCTTCCACGCCGCCAGCAGCCACAGCTACAGCTCATACTCGTGAAGCGGGGGGTTATCCCTGCACCACATCACCATACCAGCGTACGGTAGCCTCCGAAAGGAAAACACGAAAGCTGGAGAGTTGCCGGCTGGAAATTGCTGCGGTGTGATTTAAGCGTTTGCGCCGCAGCGTTCTATGGAGAATGCACCCATTTACAAATGAGATGTGAACAAGCCGTGGCAAGACTAGCGCTCCTCCCACACTCAGCAAAGGGAGCAGGCCCTGATCAAGAGCAAGGCGGAATACGAGAGCCGGCATGATACAACAGACAAAGTAAGGACATGGCCCAGCCTGGCTCCGCGCCGTCCTCATTCAGGGTCTGCACTTGTGTACGCAGCCGGCTGGACGGACTCGGTGTGTGCGTGGGAGGGGGGGGGGGGGGGGGGGGGGGGGGGGGGGGGGGGGGGGGGGGGGGGGGTGGGGGGGGGGGGGGGGGGGGGGGGGGGGGGGGGGGGGGGGGGGGGGGGGGGGGGGGGGGGTGTGGGGGGGGGGGGGGGGGGGGGGGGGGGGGGGGGGGGGGGGGGGGGGGGGGGGGGGGGGGGGGGGGTAGGGGGGGGGGGGGGGGGGGGGGGGGGGGGGGGGGGGGGGGACGGAGCGTGTTGTGTTGTCATGTCATGAGAGCCGCGCCAGAGCCTTCAACTGCAGTAAGCGATTATTTGAGTGACATTAGAAATTTGGACGGGTTTCCCCCACTCTCACCCCGCCCCGTTCTTCTCAAAGCGCGTGAGCCGTCTTTTCTTTACGCAATGGGTTCAGCGCTGAATCAAATCAGCACCGAGCACATTGTGATGCATTCTGGGCGTCACCACAATAACGTGTACCGCATATCAATCAGCAACGAGCACGTTTATGGCACATTCCGGGCAGTGGAATATAACTGGTGTATCTCGCCAAGGATGGAAGCCAATATATTGGAGTTCGTGGAAAGCTTCGGGCGCGGGTTTATCGAAGTCATCGCACGCGGTATCACGGGAAGGACAAGCAGGCGCAGTCCGACCAACGCCAGGCGGGTTTCACTGGTAACTGTGTCATACATGTCATGTCATGTCATGTCATGTCACGTCTTGTATATGTACTGACGCCATGCAACACAGCAATCGAGGCATCTGGAAGGACCATTCCATGGCAGCTATGGTTGCTGATAGGTGGACGCGGATTAGATGGCGACCGGATGGGTTACTTGGTCTTAACCTTGCCTCCAACAGAGTGATGTGGCATGGTTTCCTGGAGAAAATGTGAACAATTCAACAAAATCGGCCGCCTTGCTACTTTCACTCTCGATTTCAACCGTCGTATTATATGGTGGCGTAACGCAAATATGGCTGTAATTATTAGCTGTTTCAAGCTTACCCTTATAAAACGCAAATAGCGTTACAAGCAATGCAGGGAGGTTCTTACCATGCGTAGTGCTCACAGTCTTGAAAGCCAATCTTGTGACACAACCAGGCATAACTGTAATCGCGCCACATTTGCCCCCATGGTCAGACAACGATCAGCTGGTTTTGCGATATTCCTTTCTCGCGCCCCTTTTCTCGCGTACAATAACCGCTAACACTGTTATGTTTGGCGGAGTCCCGGTGAAAGATTCATCGTTACCTGGCCAAATACCCACGCCGCTATAGAATTTCAAGCAAACAATAAACAAAACGCAGCTCGTTTCATCACCGTAACATTAAACCCCACGCATTCTAAGAACAGATTCAACTTATTTTCCATCATGTCTGATGCCTTCAGCTCTGGTCTCGAATGTCGCTAATTTTCTGCTTATAGCTTCGCTTTACTGTTATCGCGCCGAATGTCCCCCAAAGAGTCCGGGACTTCTTTATACCGCCTTTTAAGCAACACACATTTCAGAGCAATATTTTTACAAACGGCTTTTTCACACCTCAGAGTCATCCAGAACAATCCACCAATTTGGAGGCGCCAACCTCTCACTTCGAACATTTCAAGCCGGAGGAAATCCACGGATTTACTTTACGGGCAATGACGCCCCGCCTAAGTCCGGTGGTTCCGGAAACGAAGGTGCTCATCCAGCGAAGTTGCTCGATGCATGCTGATCACGTGCGAGGCTATGACGTCACGGTCGCCATGCCATCGATCCCGTCGGGGTCAGAGCTGTCCACGGAGAGAACAGCCCAGTTATCACTACAGAAATCAGCCCTCTTCCCCTGAGGCTCCTCGAAGCCCGAATTTGGGAACTAAATAACAAAGAGGGAGAGAGCAAGTAAATAAAGAGGATGAGAGGAAGTATTGGTAAGCTCACAGTTAGCATGGAAGAATTAAGATGCTCGCAAATAACTGAGATTCCAAACTTAAATCCCCAGTCAAATTCACAGAAACCGCTGTCAAGTTGAACTGAGTGGTCTAACCATTACACTGCCGAACTTACCGAGACGTCGGTGAAGTTGAACTGAGTGGTCGATACGCTGCACTGACGAACTTACTGTGATGCCGGTGAAGCTAACTGAGTGGTCACACCACTACACTGTCGAACTTACCGAGACGTCAGTGAAGTTGAACTGAGTGGTCGAGCCGCTGCACTGGCGAACTTACCGACACGCCGGTGAAGTTGAACTGAGTGGTCGAGCCGCTGCACCGGCGGGCTCTTACCGAGACGCCGGTGAAGTTGAGCCTCTGCGTGGCGCGGAACAGGTCCCGAGGCCGTGTCAGCCCGGCTGTAGTCGAACTGGTGGAGAGAGCGGCTGAGGCCGCGTGGCGCGCCCACTCGCGCTGGGTGTGCCGGAGCGCCAGAGCCACGCTCCACAGAGCGTCATAGGCCAGCGCGGCCGTGCGGGTGACGGGCACCCGACGCCGCCGCAGCCCCCGCCGAAACGCCCCCGAACTCTTGCCGGACAAGGAGCCAGTCAGAACGGCAGGGTAGTGGCTCAGGGCGTCCCTTCAGCCCTCCCAACCTGGGCCCGGAATCGACTGGCACGGCTCATGGCGTGTCGTTCTCTCAGCGCTGTCCAGTCATTCGCCCTGCTTCTCCTCATCCTCGCTTCCTCGTGTGTCCTCGCGACGACATACGCCAGCCAACAGCGGGCTTAAATGCCCCCGGCGGAGCCCCGTCCAAGCGCCGAGCGCCCAACACGTATCACGCATACCCCGTTCTGGCTGTTTTTTGCCAAGCCAAGTGATACCAGGTGCAGCTGGGGCAGCTTTTGTCCCTTGTGACCAGATTTGACTTTGAAAAAGGGCCACACGATTTAAATCTCGATAGAGCACAGCTTACCGATTTGGGAGGTCTTTCTGACGTCGTTTTCTCCCAAAGGTGTAGCCTTTTAAGTTTTTGATATAGCCGCACGGGTCAGCCCAACAATGGCCTTCATCCCTTTAACCTGGTATGACATACTGCAGGTCACACCTGTCCCCTGTTTAGCCGCACCCGTCTAATAACGACTCTTCAGAGCCGTTTTTGCGCATTGTCGTTGCATTCTGAGATTTGAAGCCATAGGAGGGGCAAATAAGTGCTGATATGGCCACCAGGACCCCATATGACTTGCCGAAAGACACACCCATCATGGTTCAGTCACACTCATCTGATACAGTTTGAGAACATTTTCCGATTCTATTTTTGTTGTCGCCCTGGGTAACATAATTTTTGAGGCCTCTAAGGCACCCCTTTTTCGTACCGCACTGCCTCAAGCTGGAGCCGGCTGCCGCCGACCATCAATCACCAACTCTCGAACACACAGGCAGCTTGTCCAGAAACTTGACGACATGCCTGCCGCTGTGCAATGCCATGTTTTAACGAACAATGCTGACGTATTTTTAAAATTAAGGAACCCAATAAATCATTAAACATGTGCAACTGTGGTAACGTTGTTGTCACCAAATGATAATTGTGCCGTCAATTTGCATCTAATCAAATAACAACCATTTGTTTGAACAATTTATCAGTAACATGCATGATCAATAATCATATTCGACTTATTCATGATGCATTTTGTCCAAGGTATAATGAACCTGTGTGGATTCAGCCAAAGAATGCTGATAGAAAGCAGATTTCCTTTTTCTCAGTTCGTGGATCAGCATCGTTAAATTTAATAATCAAAACTGAATTTATCATCGACGCATCAGTTTGTTTTATGAGCTGGTTTCCATATGTCTAGCTGACGCTCAAGCATAGAAAAGGTTGATTGTAGTACACTCTTACTATGGTGCCCAAATAGCTTAACATTTTACCCAAATTTGCCGTGGAGACCAAAATTCGTGCTCAGACCACGAAAGGCTGCGCGCACTCTGCAAATCCTAGTACTCCTTTCCCTTCTTCTCCGGAGGACGTCAATGCCATTCCCCGCGTCTGCTCCCTTTCAACGTTACTTTCCCCTCCCCCCCTCCATCCCCCCCCCCCCAAGAGGCGCCGGCCGGACCCAGTTTGGCAACAAATAGCCCGACTAATTTCCGGAACCAAGCTTCGGAAATGGGACTCAGTCTCGCGTCCCCCCAGGCGGTGTGTCAGGGTCACATCCGAGCCGCGGCCGGGCCGCCACGACGTCGGGGGAGGCGACGGGTGACCCTCCTCCCCAGGGGGAGGACGGGGGTCACCGCGACCGCCGGGGCACTTTGAGCTGGCGGCCCGGTGGTTGACGCGCGCGGCACACACGGCTGCGCTTCTTGTGCTCTCGAACTGTCCACGCCGGCGCGGCGGTCTGTTAGCGCCGAGTTAACATTTGTCTTCGTCTCTGAATCGGACGCTGGGCGCCAACAGCCGCTGATGCATCGCCAAACAAGCGCCTGGCGGCCGAACTGCCCGCCATGGCGCAGTCGCTCAATGTGTCATCAGATACGGTGCTGGAGGGCCCCCGATGCCATCAGAGGCTTGACAGTCTCCATCACCGCCGTGGTCCGCGTGACGTAAATCCAAAACGTGCCACAACAGGAAACTTTGCGGACGCATAGCTCAGAAGCTAGAAGGGCTTAGGCGTTAAGAAGGGCAGGGCTATGAACTGCGCCGGACGATCCTCTAGATGGCTATTTCAGTTAAAAACCCCATACGAATGTGGAACACTTCTTTAGAGCGGGACATAGCTGTATCTGCGAGCTGGTTGTCGCGGCAGATATTTCATTACGCGAACACATTTCACCACCACATGAAGAATCATCGTCTTCGAAAATTTTCTGACCTTTGTTCCCAAACAAGGAGCAAATAATAGTTCATACTGTTTTCTTTCCAAGTCATGCCTATGCTGAGCAGGGGAAGACGTGCGATCTGTTCAAGATCCACCTTAGTTTACTTGATTATAACGTTTACAGCAAGAATAGTGAGACACATGCAGGACGTTGAATTTCTACTGGATGTTCATAAGACTCATGCACTATGCACAGTTCCCATACATATTGCGCTATTAACGTCAAGGAAAGACACCCAGGATGCATAAGCGCCCACAACACGAAAGTACCGTTTTGGTTGGCTGTTACAATGACATCCAAACACACTCATGGAGCGTGTTTGCACACTTATTATCCCGCTCTGGTCTGGGACGAACATAATGCGCGCGATCACTACCATCAATACATACAGTCCCAAGGCCAGTGTGTCATATGCCATCCGATAAGGCTGAAGCGAATGTCTGGAAGTTAACCGAGCACGCTGTCCCCGGTCCGGTGGTGAGATGCGGGTGGGTGGACCACACCACTGGTCACGGGGAGCAGAGCAGCGCCTCTGCGTTTGGCGCAACTGCCCAGGGTAGGCAGCTGGGCTCCGACAGGGCTGCACGTTGAGCTCAGTCCGTGACCGGACGAAGCTGGCCAGTCTCAGACAGGCTGCACGCTGAGCTCAGTCCGCGACCGGACGAAGCTGGCCATTCTCAGACAGGCTGTACGCTGAGCTCAGTCCGCGACCGGACGAAGCTGGCCAGTCTCAGACAGTGAGTATCAGAGCCAGTCAGACAGTGAGGCTGCACGTTGAGCTCAGTCAGCGACCGGACGAAGCTGGCCAGTCTCAGACAGGCTGCACGCTGAGCTCAGTCCGTGACCGAACGAGGCTGGCCATTCCCAGACAGGCTGCACGCTGAGCTCAGTCCGCTACCGGACGAAGCTGGCCAGTCTCAGACAGGCTGCACGTTGAGCTCAGTCAGCGACCGGGCGAAGCTGGCCATTCTCAGACAGGCTGCACGCTGAGCTCAGTCCGTGACCGAACGAAGCTGGCCATTCTCAGACAGGCTGCACGCTAAGCTCGCTCCGCGCCAGCGACAGAACGAACGCCCCGTAGCGCCTGCCGTGGCCACTCCGGCCGCCCCTCCCCTTTATCAGACGTCCTCTCCACGCACCGCCGTCGGCCGTAGCTCCCGAGCGACACAAACACGGAATCGATCAAGCATTTGGTCCGGCGGCGGCGGCGCCAGCGCCGTCGCCTCCGGACGGTAATAAGCCGGGCTGCGTTGTAGACGGGGGGAGGGGGGGGGGGGGGGGGGGGGGGCAACGAGACAACGCACGCAAGGCCGCACCTCCCGCAGCGCATAGAAGACCTGGGCCCGCCCACACTGTCGAAGGAAGTGGGTCAGGGATGGGGAGCACAGCAGGACAGATGCGGAAAAGATGTCACAGGTTTGGTGGCAGCTCTGTACTGGCCTGACGTCAACCAAGAGGGGATGTTCGGAGAAGGCGCTACGCTCTGATCTCTCTGCCCCTCTGCTGATGTAGCTTTGCTGCCGCCGACGGCTTTCATTAGAAAATAATGACTTGATATGCGTATCCGTAAACATGACGCTCCAGCACATCGCGTGATTACGAGGTTGGATTGCATAAGAGATCGGTGGGGAAGGGGGAGGGGGGATCCATTCCCCAATGCACACGGCAGCCTGTTTGGATAGCGGACGGCTGTGATTCCCGACCGGGGATCGGAAAACACCCGTGGAGCTTTTCCACAATCCGGACAGAAGGCCTCGGCGGGCATCGATACAGCGTGGCGTATCGTTATAGGTCACGAAAGATGAATGCACAAGTGTGTCAATCTGGAGGGTAGAGGCATCAAGGAAATTGAATACAAAATACAGACCTGGGGTGCTTATTTCGACCCTTCATTTCTCGCGTCTACGACTAAACGAAATCACAGGATGCAACTTGTGGCAACTACCTAATCAGAGGTCGAAGCGCTTGCTTACTTGGCAACACCAGCTGGGACCATTCTGGGACACTGTAAAAAGTTCAAAGAGACGCCGGAGCGTCTTGAAAAAGCTCTTCCTCCGCCCCGCGGTCTTGGCCGAGTCCTCAACCCCCTGGGCTAACGTGCGGACGGAGCGCTCCGCTGGCCCGACCGCCCAACGCATTTTCGGGCCTGGCCCGGGCCTTTCCCATATGGCTTCTCCGCTCCCTTGCGGAAACATCCGGACGGTTCGGTTCCCGCGCACATTCCTATGGCCATGCCCCGCTCCCCCTTCTGTCCACCCCCCCCCCCCCCTCCCCCCTCCCCCCCCACTCGTCCACATCGACATGGCGAAAGCTGTGTAGGAGACAGGACTGGGGACGCTCGGACGGAGCAGTAACAGCGGTTTGCAAGGGGTTGAAACTTTTTTACCCTTACGAATTCTGCATCCGGTTTCATTTTTTTTCGGAGAAAATAATGCCACGGTATCGCGTGTTATGACCTCAGTTTAAAACAAATGATATCTGAAAGAAGGAAGGGCTATCAA